TTGGACTGGATGGTCTTGAAGCTCTTTTCCAACCAGGCTGGTTCCATGATCTTGCTTTACCGTCCAAGAAGCTTACATTGATCTTCTTTGGTTTGGTTCATGGTTGGAAGAAAGGCAGATTTGGAGGAAGACTTGAAGCGTGGGGGGAATGTCCTGGCATTTGCCTGTGACTTGAGACAGACTCAGGAATCAGAGCCAGGATTCCAGCTGCCTCCAGAAGCAGAGGTCCTTGTGAGGCTGGTTCCATGATCTTGCTTTACCGTCCAAGAAGCTTACATTGATCTTCTTTGGTTTGGTTCATGGTTGGAAGAAAGGCAGATTTGGAGGAAGACTTGAAGCGTGGGGGGAATGTCCTGGCATTTGCCTGTGACTTGAGACAGACTCAGGAATCAGAGCCAGGATTCCAGCTGCCTCCAGAAGCAGAGGTCCTTGTGGGTGAAACAAGCTCTAGGGATCACCAGAAGGGAAATGGCTCTTTAGAACAAGACCATTCCTGGCTGTTACATTTCCCTGCTTAAGGAATCTCCATGGCTTGTGTAAGAACGGGCTTAGTGCCTGGTTCAGCATGGACGAGGGAGCTTGTCCCTTTGGCTTGGAGCAACCTGCTCTAGTGGAAGGTGTCCCTGCCCGGGGCGGGGGTTGGAGCTGGAGGAGCTTTAGGGTCCTTTCCACCCCAAACCACGATTCTCTGGAGCCAGGGATGTCCCCAGCTCTGCGCAGTTGGAGGTTTCTCATCCAGCACCTGAGGCTTTGTCACCGGCCCGGCCACGTGGATGATGTTCCAACACTCAGTGCACAGAAACACCCAGTTCCCCTCTTGCAAGGATCACATCGAGGCGAGTCATTGAGCTCTAGAAATGTCCTGGGATGGCCACGACTCACCTGGAATTCTGCTCCCAGCCAGCAGCGGGTTTGCCCAGGCCATGGCCAGGGAAAGGAGGCAGCTCCCGACTGCACAAGCACCACAAGCCCGAGCCCCTCCGGGAAGGAGGCGTTTTCCCTCTTTTTGATGCTCTTGGATGTTTCTTCACCTCCAGGTTCCTCGGATTATCCTGTGGCTGATGGTCGAACTCGCCATCATCGGCTCCGACATGCAGGAGGTCATCGGCTCGGCGATTGCCATCAACCTCCTGTCTATGGGCAAGTGAGTGGGGTGCATCAGAGGGCAGCAGGGGATGGGTGCTCCCCTCTGGCATTGGGAAAGGGACACTGGGTGTGCCGAAACCCGCTCCTTTGCTTCCCATAAACCTTAAAGTTACAGCAGGTGATTCATCTCTGTGGTTAAAGCTCTCTGATGACTTGGCCTTTGGTGCCTGATTCTTCTTCTTCTTGGGGCTGTACAGAGAACAGGCTGGAACCCACCCACCAGAGCTGGGCTGCACCTTTCCTGGCCCCTTGCCCTAAGGAAGGACCACCAGGCGTCCTCCTCCCCTTTGGCCAGGAAGGCTGGAAGTGCAGACACAACAGGGCGCTACCGTTTAGCACCAAAGCAGCTCTTCAGAGCCTTGTTTGCTCCTGACCTAGGCTTTGCGCTGGAGCTTTGGGCAGAGACCTCTCCCCGGAGCTCTTGGTGCGGCTCCTAAGCTGGTTGCTGTGTCCCGCAGGATCCCGCTGTGGGGGGGAGTGCTCATCACCATCGCCGACACCTTCGTCTTCCTCTTCCTGGACAAATATGGTGATTTCTTTCTCCTCTTCAAGTCAGAAACCTGCGATTCAGCTGCTCTCAGTTTGCTGATGGACTTTGTGTCTTCCTCCCCCCAGGCCTGCGGAAACTGGAAGCGTTCTTTGGCTTTCTCATCACCATCATGGCTCTCACGTTCGGATACGAGGTACCTTCCACCCTGTGTTCCCACCAGCGTGCTTTGTAGTGGTCCCCCTACTCCTGGGCCCAAACACCCCAAAGCACGGGGCAGACCCTTCCAATCCAGGCCCTTTGAAGCTGGGTCAGTGCTTCTGCTGTATGGCCGTTGTCCTGCCCATGCCCTGCTCTGTACAAGTGCTGCTCCTGCAGCCTGGAAACCAGCCGCGGTGCTCAGCTCCTCACTCCCATCTCTGAGCAGAGCTGCCACGTTCTGCTTCCAGTTTTAGCACCTTTGGGCTGGGGAGCATGGCTCAGAGGAGCACCCAAGGCTCCGCGCTCACCCAGCGCCTCTCTCTTGTCTCAGTACATCACAGTCAGACCCAACCAGGAGAAGCTGCTCAAGGGGCTCTTTGTCCCATACTGCCAGGACTGCGGAACGCCGCAGCTGGAGCAGGCTGTGGGCATCGTGGGAGCTGTCATCATGCCCCACAACATGTACCTGCACTCGGCCTTGGTCAAGGTGAGCTGCTGAGATGCTCAGGGCACAAAGTGACTCTGGGGATGGCGCCGGGGAGGCTGAAACCTGGTGTCTGTGGGGACAATGGGGAACAAGGGATGATCTCTCCAAAACGTGATTCTGAAGCCTCCTGTTGTCACCATCTCCTCTGCAGTCCCGGCAAGTGAACCGTGCAAACAAGAGGGAGGTCCAAGAAGCCAACAAGTATTTCTTCATCGAGTCCTGCATCGCTCTCTTCGTCTCCTTCATCATTAACATCTTTGTGGTGACCGTCTTTGCCGAGGCTTTCTTTGAGAAGAACAATGCAGATGTGGTGAGTTGGGGCTGGGACTTTGCTGGGGACCAAACCCTGGGGCTGTGTGAGCACAACCGGGGCTGATGGGAGCTCCCAGCCCCACCAGAGCTCATCGATGCAGTGTGTAAAGAGGGGAAAGAACAGGGGTGCTGGTTACTTGCATGTCCTCGTGTCTGTTTTTGAGCACCCCCCTTCCCTTCGTGTCGCTGCAGAACGCCGTCTGTGTCAACGCCAGCAGCCCCCACTCCTCACTCTTCCCCAGTAACAACCAGACGCTGGAGGTGGACATCTACAAAGGGGTGAGTGATCCACGAGCAGGAGTTGTCCCCTCTCCATGGCCGGTAGCACCTGCTCCTTTTGGAACCCCAGCCCTGGTTTGGGTTGAAGCTTAAAGCTCCTCCAGCTCCAGACCCTGCCCCGGGCAGGGGCACCTTCCACTAGAGCTGGTTGCTCCAAGCCCATGTCCAACCTGGCCTTGAACACTGCCAGGGATGGGGCAGCCACAGCTTCTCTGGGCACCCTGTGCCAGCGCCTCAGCACCCTCACAGGGAAGAGCTTCTGCCTCAGAGCTCATCTCAATCTCCCCTCTGGCAGGTTAAAGCCATTCCCCTTGTCCTGTCCCTCCATCCCTTGTCCAAAGCCCCTCTCCAGGTTTCCTGGAGCCCCTTTAGGCACTGGACCTGCTCTTTGGGTGAACAGGGAGGGCTGAGGACCAGGACCTGTGAAAGGATCCCCAAAAACAGAGCTGGAGGAGACCCCAGGGACCCTGAGCCCAGCCCAGCCCTTGGGACCAGTAGAATCATCTGTCCCGTTGCTAATGGTGCTCGTCCAACCTCACTCCCCAGCTCCTCGCTCCCTCTTCCATGAGCTTGGCCATAACAAAGCGTCTCCTTCCATCCCTCCTGAACCTGCTCTGCTCAGACTGCAGCAGCCCCTGAGGTGTTCCTTACCTGCTTCCCGAGGCAGGGAATGCTTTTCCCTCTCCTATAAGCAGATTATTCCCCTTCTTTCAGCTCAACCGCACCGGGATTAATGTGGTCACCAGGGAGTTCTCCTGCTCCCTGCGGTTTCCACCCTGAGCTGGGGCTGACCTGACCTGATGCCTCCTCTCCCTCTTGTCCCCTCTCCTGCAGGGAGTGGTTCTGGGCTGTTACTTCGGTCCTGCTGCTCTCTACATCTGGGCCATCGGGATCCTCGCCGCGGGGCAGAGCTCCACGATGACGGGGACGTACTCGGGGCAGTTTGTCATGGAGGTACCAGCACCAGCAGCACCTTCCCCCGGCTCCATTCCCAACCCGTCCAGCTCAGCCGGATGCTTCCTTCCCTCGGCCACGCCGCCGCTTGTGCTGGAAGCTCCATAAGAGACCCTGTCACCCAAAGCAGCCCTTGCCCCTGCCCCAGCCCCACTCCTCCTGCTCTGCTCTCCTCTTCAGGGCTTCCTGAACCTGCGCTGGTCCCGCTTCGCGCGGGTGCTGCTCACCCGCTCCATCGCCATCACCCCCACGCTCTTCGTTGCCATCTTCCAGGATGTGGAACACTTGACAGGCATGAACGACTTCCTGAACGTCCTCATGAGCCTCCAGGTGAGCAGCAGCGCCCGGGCTGGGGGACACCAGCCCCACAGCTCAGGGACGGGATCCTGCCCCTCTGCTGCAAGAAGGGGGGGCCTCAGAGCAGCTCCAGCGCCTCCAGGAAACCTGGAGAGGGGCTTGGGACAAGGGATG